AGATAGATAGATAGATAGATAGATAGATAGATAGATAGATAGATAGACAGACAGACAGGCAGATAGGTGATACAACATCATACATATAAACATACATACATACAAACATACATACATACATACATACAAACATACATACATACATGGAGCAAGTAAGATCATGCACAGAAAGATGAATCTGAGTCAGTTGAGTGAGAGTGTTTTGGAATGTTCCTATTCTTACAAATTTCCAAAGCTTAAAAATATGTTCAAATATATTTCTATTTTCAAGTCTAATTGATATTATTTTTTTAATCATCTATGTCTACATTTTTCAAATATTCAACCTGTTCAACAACTTGCTCTTAATTCTGACTTCTTTTCCCAGAAAATAAGATGACACTATTTATAATTATAATAACTGCTAGCTGTAGTGATTTTATACCAGAAACTAGCACTTATTAATAAGTTACAGTATGCCAGATGTCTAGCTATTGACATTGTCTTTGTATTTATTTGCTCATTTAATTAGTCCTGCAGAAAACATGATGAGATAGGAACTAATTAATAGACGAAGAGATTTAAGTTTGGAGGCATTTAGGAAACTCTCCAAAATAATCTGGGGAAGAGAATCCACTGAAAAGAAGTATATGTAAAATGACAGAGGGAGACCTGTTGCTTTATATGCTAATTTGTTTTTGTTTTTTAACAATCCTACAAATACAACAGTGCAACCTGGAAGTCTCTGAAAAAAATCTGTGCTTCCCAGTTCATTAGGACCAGGCAGCTGGGTCATTGTTTATGACCTCTTAGGCCACAGACATACATTATGGATGAGCTGCTATTGTTTCATTTTCTGTGGAAGGCTAAATAAATAAATAAATAAATAAATAAATCCCCTGAAAAATGGCAATACTCTGATCCCCAGAATCTGTTATCTGGAAGTGGAGTTAAAATTACAGAGAGAATTCTTTGTGCCAGTCAAATAACTTTAAAATAAAGCCTCTGCGTGGGTCCAGTGTAATACTCTGGTCCTTACATGTGGGAAATGAAATAAAACGAAGGTTGTCAGATTAATGTCATATGAGAAAGACTGAAACTGTCGTTTTCAGTTTTGAAGATGGAAGAGGACCACATTC